TTGCAAATGGCAAGACTTCATTCCTTTTGATGGCTGCATAATATTCCATTGTATATATATATACCACATCTTCTTTATCCATTCACAATGAGTGTACTCTTAATCCCCTTCACCTGTTTCACCCATCCCCCTACCCACCTTCCCCTGGGGCAACCACCAGTTCTCTATAGTTAAGAGTCTGTTTTATTGTTTGTTTCTTTTTTCTTTATTCATTTGTTTTGTTTCTTAAATTCCAAATGTGAGTGAAATCATATGGAAAACAGTATGGAGGCTCCTCAAAAAAATCAAAACTAGAATTACCATATGATCCAGTAACTCCACTACAGGGTATTTACTCAAAGAAAGGAAAACACTAATTTGAAAAGATACATGCACCCCTGTGTTTATTGCAGCATCATTTACAATAGCCAAGATGTAGGAAGCTGAATGGATAAAGAAGAGGTGGTATATGAATATACAATGGAATATTACTCAGCCATAAAGAAGAATGAAATCACCATTTGCAGCAACATGGATGGAGCTAGAGGGTATAATGCTAAGTGCAATAAGTCAGTCAGTGAGATGACCTTCTTTATTACTGGCAATGTTCTATGTCTTATTAACAGAGCCATTACATCTTTCTTTTAATTAGTGTTAGCATGAAAAGGGTGATATATCTTCTTCCTTCCTTTTAATCTACTTCCATCTTTCAAGTGTGTTTCTATAGGCAGCATATAGTATTACCTTACTTTTTTTTTTTTAAATATTTTATTTATTTATTTGAGAGAGAGAGAATGAGAGACAGAGAGCATGAGAGGGAGGAGGGTCAGAGGGAGAAGCAGACTCCCCGCCGAGCAGGGAGCCCGATGCGGGACTCGATCCTGGGACTCCAGGATCATGACCTGAGCGGAAGGCAGTCGCTTAACCAACTGAGCCACCCAGGCGCCCCTATTACTTTACTTTTTTAATCAATCTGAAAATTTCTGCCTCTGAATTAGGGTGCACATTTACATTGCATGTGATTATTGATAGGGTTAGGTTTGAGTCTGTCATCTTGCTGTTTGTTTTCTATTTGTCTCATCTGTCCTTTATAACTTCTTTTATTCCCCTTCTGCCTTTTTTTTTTTTTTTTGGATTGAGTATTTTTTTTATGGTTCTATTTCATCTCCTATGTTGTCTTATTAGTGACAGCATTTTTTGTTAATTTTAGTGGTCACTTCGGGGTTTATTGCACACGTATATTGATCCCATCTACTTCAGGCATTCCACATACGGCAGAAGAAACTCACAATAGGATGAAACATACAGTAGTATGCTTTCCTTTCCCCTGTCCTAGACTTCATGCTGTCGTTGTCATATATTTTATTTATATGTATGTTGTAAACCCCACACTAACTTGTTATTTTTGTTTAGTCAGTGATCTTTAAAGAGATTTAAGTAATAGAAAAAAATTCTTATTGATTTACCCCTGTAGTCACCACTACCAGTGCTCCTCATTTCTTTGTTTAGATTGATATTTTCATCTGGTATCCTATTCCTTCTGCCGGGACTTCCTTTAGCATTCCTGGTAGTGGGTCTGTTGGTGGTTATTGCTCTCAGCTCCTGAATGTCTGAAAAAGTGTATTTATCACTTTCATTTTTTCAAGGGTAATTTCTTTGGGATCATCGTGTTTTCTTTCAGTACTTTACAGATGTGTTCTGGCTTGCATTGTTTCCAATGAAGAACTTTGCTGTCATTTTTAGTTTTGTTCCTCTGTACATAATGTGTCTTCTTTAACTTTGTCTGCTTTTAAGATCTGCTCTTTATTATTGGCTTTGAACTATTGATTATGATGTATAGTTTATTCCTATTTCCTGTACTTTGGCTTAATTGAACTTCTTGGATGTGTAGGTTTATTGTTTTCATCAGATTTGAAAATATTTAGCCATAATTTCTTTAAATATTTTTTCCATTCCCACATCCTCTCTTTCAGAACTCCAGTGACACATGTATTACTAGGATGCTTGAAGTTATCCCATAGTTCACTAATGTCTATTTATTTTTCATTCTTTTTTCTCTGTGTTTTCATTTCATATAGTTTCTATTGCTATGTCTTCAGTTCATTAATCTTTTCTTACGCCATTAATCCCATCCAGTGTATTTTTCATTTCAATTTGGGTCTTTTAAGAAAACTTCTATGTCTCTACTTAATTTTTTGTGCATGAGGAATACCGTTCTTATGCCCCTGCCTGTTCATTCTAACATCTGTGTCTCATATCAGGACCCGTCCCTCAATAATTGGGTTCTTCATTTTTCTCATTATGGGCCAATTTTTCTGCTTCTTTGAATGCCCAGTAATATTCGATTAGATGCCAGACATTGTGAATTTTACCTTTTTTGGCCGATTAATATATTTTTGTATTCCTATAAATAATCTTGAGCTTCATTCTGGGGCACAGTGAGGGTACTCAGAAACAGTTTGATCCTTTTAGGTCTTGCTTTTTAAAATTAGTTTGTTGGTACCACAGCAGCATTCAGGCTAGGGCTCTTTGTTCCCTGCTGCTGAGGCAAGGCCCCCTTTTGAGTCCTCTGAATTGAGAGGCTTTCCAGTCTGTCTGGAGTTCCGAGCCCTGCGTGAACGTGAGGTACTCTCCCCTCTATCCTCCTGGCCCTCAGGTAGCTTCATCATCTGCATGCACTGATCAGTACTCGATTGGATACTCAAGCAGTATCCTTTGCACAACAAAGAAAGTTTCCTTTCTTTGTAGTTCTCTCCTTTCCTGTATGCCACCCAGTGAACCGTAGCCATGGTGCCTCTAGAACCCTCAGCTCCACGTCTTCAACACAGGGAGTCGGCCAGCCTTCCCCTGGGGCTTTCCATCCTGCACTGCAGATGGAAACTCTCTCATGGCAGTAAGCAGAGGATTCATAGGGTTCACCTCCACTGTTGCCCATCTTGCAGGGATCACTGTCCCACATGGCTCAGCGCCCAGTGTCTTGAACATGATTGTTTCATATGTTTTGTAGTTGTTGGTTTGGTGGTTTTAGGTGAGAGGATAAATAAAGTTCTTGTTACTCCATTTAGTTACAAGTAGAAATCTCAAAATTAGGGTTTATTTTTTCTTTTATATATTTAATATTCCTCTTATTTTAAGAAGAAAGTTGTATTTTAACCATTTATGAGTAAGGCGATTTCTAATCATGCTTGCTGTATTTAAGTTTATGAAGATCTGAAGCGGGGTGAAGGGAGGGGGGGACCCAGAAAATAAAAACAATAAAGTGCCACTCCTTACCCCAAAGCTCTCTGATTTGCTCTTTGGTAGTTGCTCTGCTAGATTAGGAGAGCCCCTTTGTTCCTTTTGGAGAGAGAGTCTCTAAATGAGTTCTATGAATGTGCATTCAAAATGTATGGAAGATGTTATAAATAAAATGGTCATGGTCTTTGAGTTTTGATCTACACCATTAAAACTTTGACAGTAAAATACTGTAGAGGAAACATAATTAGAGAACTTACTTCAATAGATATTAAAATGTATTTTAAAGCTATAGTAATCAAAATATTGAAGTAGTATTGCTAATATAGACACAGATTAGTAGACCAAATTAGAATTTCCATAGGCAGACTTATAAATGTAGTTTAAACATTTAGCATAAAGGAATTATTTCAATCATGGGTTATTCAGAAGATAGTGTTGGTACAACTGGACAATTCATTGAAAAAAAAAGTTGGATCTCCTCTCCATATCTTACATCCAACTATATTTTAGATAGAATAAAGATACAACATTATTTGGAGAAAATATAGGTGATTCATATAGGCTTGAGGAAGAGAAGGCCTTTTTAAGTATGATGCAGAGGGTACAACCAAATTGGAGTCAGAGAGTTTACAAAGAAAAATCATAGAAACAGAAGGAAAAAAAGAATAAAGTAAATAAGGTGAGCAACAAAGCAAATGTCTTTTAATTTTACAAACATCGTTTCTTTTCAGAATATTTAAAAGATGCTTCAAAGAAGATGAAAAGTGGGCTTATGTTTGTAAAATTGGTTAATCCATGTTCAGGTAAGCTTTCCTCCCCCCTTCTCTTCCGATAACAGTAACTTTAATGTTTTTTAAACATTGCTGCCAAAAAGTGTATATACTTATTTACCTTTGTACGTTTGTTCTTCCTTAATAGCTTTTAAAGGTAAGATGGCATTACTGGGTGACAAAAGCAACCTTGACCTAAACATTGTTTATTTCTTCTTCTAATTTAAATCCGTAGAACTGTTCACTCATCAGAAATGCATGCAAGACAGAAAGTGGTGTGTTTGGCTTCTCTCTGAAAATAGACTGATTTTCTTTAGCTTTCTTAAGCCAACTCTTCTTAGAGTAGTTATCCAACATTAGCGTCCACTTATATTCATTTTATGTTGTAAAGTAAAATAAACAGCCAGAGTAAAAAAGAAAAAACAAAGTTTTTACTTGACATGCCAAGATTTTGAGTGTTTTCATATTTAGTGGTACTTTCCTTATTTTCTTCTGAAAAGACAGTATATTTGTTCCTAGTCAAGAGGTGATTTTTTTTATATTAAAAACATTTTATACAGATACATATTTTATTACAACTAATTTCATTATAACTTTATATTCAGTGCATTTTGTTTTCTAATTTTAGGCAAAAATATTAAAATATACCATAAATACATAGTAATATTGATATTTATCTCTATGTGAGATTATTTTTTTGTTAATTTATTTCACAAGATTTCTGTTAGAGGGTTGTTATTAATTTTATAAGGTTTTGAGTAGACATTTGATACTTAGCAAATTAGAGCATTGTGCTGGTGGGTACAATATTGAAGAGTAAAAACAAGGGAAAGTCCATGCGTAGTGCCTTGTTATCGTTGTTGATGGACAGACATAAATAGAAGCCACAAGAACGGCAAAAATTCCTGGCTTCTTCCAGTTTCCTTTTCCTCAAAATGGGATTGAATTTGAATTGAAAATTCATATTATCTGGAACTTCTAATTTTATGTTAAGACTAAATTGAGGCAAGCAAATTTTTTCAAGAGAAGTTTTAGGTAGCAGTAAAGGTTGTAAAGCATTTAATGAAAGTAAAGGTACACAAAAAGTCAGGCTTCTTGTACAATTTCTGTTTTATCTAAATGTCCATAAACAACAGAGGAACAAATGTTTGCATTTACCACATTGACTGTGGAAAAATAAAGGCTAACATTTGCTGAGCATTTACTATGAGCCGAGGACTGTTTTAGGAACTTTACATGTGTTCTGCCTTTCTGATCCTTACAAAAACCTGTGAGGTAGGTTCCCTATTGCTCCCATTTTACAGATATGGAAACAGAGGCACAGAAAGGTTTACATAACTTCCCTGAGGGCACATGCACAGCATGTGGTACACACAGATTCAAACTCAGGGTCCTTGATAGTGCTGTGGTTAGAAAAAAATTTCATGCCTCAAAGGGCCCTTGCCTTTCTCACTTAGAGCTGGCCCTCAGGCCCTGTCCCTCTCTTGGGCCCTCTGGTGACAGGGAGCCAATGTCAGCTCAGTTCATCTGATTGAAGCATTAGGTTTGGGTAGTTTAGGAATGGGTTTCCCCTTGAGATCTAATGGAGGATTCAATGAGAGGCTTTGTAGCAGTTAAGATGAATGATTTGCACTTTTTTTTATTTATTGGTTTAAGTTCAGTGAGGATTATAGAGCTGGAAAACAAGCATCTGTATGTAATAGCTGTGAACTTTCCTGGGAGTCAGTTTGTATAGAATATATCTGTGTATGTTTATGTCCATATTAGGAACATTCCTCAGAACTATTGGACAGTCTTTTGATTTTGTGTGTGTGTGTGTGTGAAAACTTAAAAATAAAAAACAGATTTGTCTTAACAGGGGAAGGAACCATTTACTTGTTCGATATGTGTCTACAGCAGCTGTTTGAAATAAAAATTTTCAAGGAAAAACACCATTCTTGGTTTATAAATCAATCAGTCCAATCAGGTAAGTGACTAGTGTATATATTTCCATTAACTAAACACATACTCTAGCTTTTCCATCCTTCATGCATAGGGGTGCAGGCCTGTCTGCCCAGTTTGGAGGCCTTCCTTGGCATCAGAGTAGGGTTTAATCAAGGGGAAAGGAAAGATAGTTTGAGCAAGTTTAAATCAATATCTACGTATCTTAGATAGTAGGAAAATTTAAGCTAGTAACTCCACTTGGTCTCCTAAAACACAGATGTGCCCTTAGTCAGAAATTAGGTGATCTTTCTAACACGGGAACATACATTATGTGGACTGGGGACTCTTTGTTCTTCTGTTAGACACTTTTGAGGATCTTCAAGGTTTAACATCTTATTTCTTGGCAAATGGATATGCTTCTAAAATAAAATAGAATATAACAAAGATTTTTTAATGTGTTGTCATATAAATTACTACTGCCCCCACCTCTGTACCCCCCCAACACACACACCCAACACCAGAGTTCTGGTTCTTTTAATGTTCCTCTAATTTGGGGGCAGTGTTGACTCAGAAGGAAAAAGGATACTGCATGTTCTGATGGTTCAAGGAGTCGGGGAGGTGAGGGGGAGTCAGGGATAGTTGAGGCATTCTGCATTCCCTCTGCCTATTTTCTCATTGTTTCCAGAGAGTATTTTCTATTTCTTTGTAAGCCCTCTGCTTTCTGTTGACTGTGTATGTCTCCACTTAGTGCCAATGTAGAAAGGCCAGTTTGTCTTTCTTCTAAGACATTCCAGAACAAGAGTTTATTGCTGGTGATAAATTTCATATACCTATGTGCATGAGAATACTTGAAATGGCTTTCAGTTGCCAAAATGCAATGGCAGACTGTGTATATAGTCTGGCAGGTGGAAAGTATGTGTATTTCCTTTTATTGTCGCTGCTATGCTTATTCATTTGGCAATATATGAGAGTTCTAACTTCTAACGTAATACGCTTGCAACTGGTTTAGCTAGATAGACACAGTAATATCCAGATGAAACTGGGAAATATTGGGAGGCAGTGATTGATCACCTCTCCTGGACTGTCTGAGTTGGTACCTGCTTTTTTTTTTCTTTTTAATAGACCTTATTTATTCAAGTGGTTTTACGTTCATAGCAAAGGTGCCTGTTTTTTTCATCATTGTCTTCATTTTAAACTTAGCCTTGAAGAAAGAGCTGCTTTTAAGAATAGCCACCAGGATATTGTTTTCAGACCTAGAAACCTGTTCCTAATTTCTATCATGGATGCCTCCTATAAAATGAGCTTAGAGATTCTGATAGGTTGTTCTCATAAGTTTCTCTTCTACTTTTAAAAAAATAATCGACTACAAAATTACTTTCTTAATTTTTTTTTTACTTACTATAAAATGGAATCATATATATAATTTAAGGTTAGAATTTTTTGGCTGTATAGGTAGGTTGCTCTTTTAGGGAATAAAAGTAAGTACATATGTCTCCTGAAACCAAAATAAGTATGAAGATAAAGAAATTGTTTATTGTTCCATTTGATGAAATATCTCTTCTGGTTCACCTCCATGGAAGAAGGAGTCGGGGATGATTGGAGGGGCTGTGATAGAGGAAAGAATAGTGGGGAATAAATAGGCTAGTTTGTTTGATTTGCCTTTTTTCCTTTTAGCCTGGATGTACCATTAATCTTACTACAGAGTTTCCTGTTCCTTATGCTCAGTCTTGTTAGACTTCTTTCCTCTTGCCTTTTCCTTAGGGAGTAGGAGGATAAGGTAAGGTCTGGATAAGGTGGGTCTCAGGTTTGGATTTTAGCCATCCTGACAGGTGTGAGGTGATATCTCATTGTGGTTTTGATTTGCATTTCCCTGATGATGAGTGACGTTGAACACCTTTCC